ATTGAAATCAATCCAAGGTTTTAACCATTCTTTTTGTTTGAACATTATGACTCTGTTTATTTTCTTTAACTTTAAACCCTGTTTCAAATAATATTTTAACATCTTAATGTGTAAAACATAATTATTTTTATCGTTAACATTTAATATTAATTTTGGTGTTTTCTCATCTCTGGGTTCTTTATTGTGATAATATGCTTTATATATTTCTCTCTGTTTTTCACTTAACATACTTGCTTCAACATTCATAATTTCAGGTGCTAGTGGATAGTCAATATGTTTATCGTGTAATTCTTTAGGATACTCTAAATCAACGTCCAATATAAAACCTACATTAGTATCGTTCCAAGATTTAATATTATCTTCATTAAATCCATCAATGAATTTAATATCTTTGTATGGTAGTTTTTGACACATTGCTAGTCCATACAAGTTATTAGCGTCAAGATAACTAATGTATGTTGAAGGCTTTTTATTATCATATAAATCACCCATATATTTATTGTTTGCTTCAACGCGTTTAATAGAAGATTGGCACATCCCACCACGTAAACCCTTCTCAACCATTTTATACAATTCTTCATCATATATTAAATCTAAAGTGACACCCGTTTTTAATAGCATAGCATCCCAAGCAAAATTAGGTAAAGTGTAATAATGAGCAGGGTCTAAACCGTAATCTTCTAAACATTTAGTTCTGAAGTTTTCAAAAACATCTGTTAATAATAAAACATCCGTTTTAAGATATAGGTCGTGATACTCACCTAGATTTTTAATGTTAAAATGTTTCCATATATGCTTTGCTTTTTCATAATCTTCATCTTTGATATCTTCTTCTGACAGTTGGCTGTAGAATTCTTTTTTTGGTGGTAATTCTGTTTCATTGAATTTACTAAAATCATTCATATAGTCATATGGGTAAATACCCTTATCTGTTAATAAATCTAAATCATAATCATCCTTAACATATTCACTATTTTTACTGTATGTAAAATGATTTGTCCAGTTCTCTCGCTTTTCATTGTTCTCATATTTTGTTAATTTGACTAGCTTATCTAATGATGATGATAAGAAACTAAAACTATCCTTGAACTCAAGCTGTTTTAAACAAAAGGTAACAAACTTCTCGCTGTTCTGTGCTATTACGCTTACATCATCTTTTTTAGTATTAAGTTTATCAAGATTTGATATTATAAGGTGCGCGTCATAATTTCTAAGGTTATGAAAAAATATAGGAATTTTAAAGTATCTGAAACAATAATCTAAATTACATTTATTGTGAGCGGCACCTCTATATAAACCTGTAAAATGACAATGATCCCATACCTTCCTTTTTTCTTTTGTATTGTTAAAAGCACCTCCACATATAAAGCATTTGGTGCTTTTATTAAAATCTTTTTCTGCTTCAGGTGATGTAATCTTATCCTTTGGTGTGTGCATCTTTTCAAATATTTCTTCTCTAATTTCATTCATCGTTTTACAAAAATTATCCATACAATCCTCACCTCTATAAATGTATGGTTTTACTTCATTTGTTATTGAATTAACAACATTTAACATAAAACCTGATGGTGTGTGGTTCTGATAACTGCCCTTTAAACCTTCATTTGATAATGTTGTTAAACACTCAAAATCACCATAGATAACATAAGGACATCTTAACTTTTTGTAATGCTTTTGGAAAAACATTTTTTCTTTTTCTTCTGGCATCTTAATGGTTTGAACCTCATTAGCCATACAACCTTTTAATGTATGAGCAGTTAATAATGTTTCTTTTTGAAAGCCTTTTTGACAAAATCTACAATGAAATAATTTTTCTTTGTGCTTGTTTGTTTGAGAACCCATTAAACGAGAATAGTCTTTAATGTAAATATAATGACTAGAGTCATCATCATTATCTAGTCTTAAGAGGTTAACGTGAAAAGTTGGTCTAACTATTTTTGTTATTTTGTCTGCTCTTATTTTGTTGTTTTCATTATCAACTGTATAAACATTTACTGAAATGGTATTGTTGTTGATTTCTTCAAAGTGTTGAATATCTTCATTTGAAGCTGGAAAATTAACACCATCCCATTTTATTAAACTCTCATTATCTAATAGTTTTGTATAATGGTAAAGTCTTTCTGGGTGGTCTTTTTTGTAGATGTCATAAAACCTACATAGGATACAATATTTTAAACAAAAGTCATCATCATTTTTAATATTAATACACGCTTTTTTCTTTGATATCCAATCAGGTAGTTCTATAAATTTTCCCGCTCTTGTCGGGTCATACTTATCATAATGTATTGTTATTTTACTAACTTTCTTTATTTTTAATCCTGATTTACTTAAGTTCTTGTTTTCAACTAAAAGTTCAATATCACTCGCCATATTATTTATTGCATTGTTTAAATCTTCCTTCATTTAAAATATTGTATCTCCTACTTCCTATTGTATGTGTTCTATCTTCATCAACATCGTCTTCATCTACTGCGAGATATGTAAATACTAAATCAACTGTTATTAAAACTTTCATACTCTTATGTTTCTTAAGATAATCGTTTAAGCGTTCTTTTTGATATTTAAGGTATGATAAACCTTTAAAACCTGAAAGATTTATATTTGTAATGGAATAAGAATTAGCATAAGATTTTAACGCGGATTGTTCATCTGTTATTGATGCTTTGTTTTTAATAGCATAACTTTTTAAAGCTTGACGAACCATAATTTTTTTAGAAGCGTCATTTAATATTTTAAAGCGTTTGTATTCTGGAGTTTTAGATATTTTGGTAAGTTTCTTTGTTAAACGCTCTGTAAAAGGTTTTGATGGATTATATGGGTATTCTTTGTCATTTATAATTACTCGTTTTAATTGTTTACCTTTATCATTAACTTTAATCTCACCTATTTTTGAAGATAAAACATATTTCATAACAGATTTTTTTAATGTATCTTCCATATAATAATATAGGGTTTTTCCCTTTAAGTCGGGTTTTCTGGGGTCTGGCTCCATACCCCTTAAGGGGGCTTCCCTTTAAGTCCCTTTGGGGGCTGGGCTGGGGCTCGGGGCGCGGGGCGCTCGGTGGGATCCTTCTAAACTATTTTGAATGTATAATCTACCAGATTACAGATTAAAATCTGCCAGCTTGTGGATTGAAATCTGCCAGATTACAGATTAAAATCTGCCAGCTTGTGGATTGAAATCTGACAGCAGACAGATTAAACTGTCTAATTTGGCACCTGTAAGCTGACAGATTAAAAATCTAGCAGATTACAGCATCACGAAGGTTAACGAATTAAAAAATATTTGAGCGATTTATTTGATGATTATAATAATTAAAAACACCCTTAAAGCAAAAACACGTTTATAATATTAGGTGAAAATGGTTGATATTACAATATGTAGTAAATGTGGTGTTATTAGAAGTTTAGATATGTTTACACCTGACTGTAATGAATGTAATCGATACTTAAATACTAGATGGAGATATAGACAAAACCATAAGGAACAAATAAAAGAATACAATAAGAACTATTATCAAGAAAATAAAGAACAAATACGAAAACTTATGAAAGAACGAATTGAATGTCCTTATTGTAAATGTTTAGTAAATAAATACACAGAAAAAAGACATAATCAATCTAAACGGCATCAGAAGGCAATGAATGTCACTACATCTTAACCAACAAACATTCATACTAAAAATTATTATGAATATTTGACAAAACATTAGAAGGTCAAACTCCCCAGAAATCCCCGAATTATGATAATCCCTGAAATTATGAATAAGGTAGATATTCAAAAAATGTAATATTTTAGGCATAAATTATGAAAAAATTGAATTAATAATTATAAATAATGAATGAGGTATCCAATGTCCCAGAAACCCCAGTCAAAATTGAGATTTTGAAATTTTCGAAAATCCCCTAAATTTTGAAAATAAAAAATGAATAAGGTAATTTTCAAAAATGAGAAAATGAATGAGGTAATTTTTATGAAAATAATGAATAAGATGGAACATAAAAAAATAATTGTAATTATTTAGGACTTAAAGTAAAAAGCCCTAGAAAAATTATTTTATGAAATGAAAAAGGCTCATAAAATGATTTTTTGTAGATTTTATAGGTATGATAAAATGAATGAGGTTAATTGTATAAATGTTTAGATGGGCGCCTGTGGCGGAAACCTGAGAATCCCCCTATTACTAGTTTTTGGGGGGGGGTGGGGGGGGGTGGGGGGGGGTGGGGGGGGGTGGGGGGGTGAGGGGGGGTGGGGGGGGTGGGGGGGGGTGGGGGGGGGGGGGGGGGGTGGGGGGGGGTGGGGGGGTCGCCGCTTTACTGGACAAGGTCGCCGTTTTACTGGGCAAGGTCGATTTTGGTCAAAAAATCGACCTTGCCCAGTAAAACGGTGACCTTGCCCAGCGACCTTCGGATTCCAAGGTCGCATTTTTACTGGGCAGGGGCGGAAGGTCGCCGTTTTACTGGGCAAGGTCGCCGTTTTACTGGGCAAGGTCGCCGTTTTACTGGGGCAAGGTCGATTTTGGTCAAAAAATCGACCTTGCCCAGTAAAACGGCGACCTTGCCCAGTAAAACGGCGACCTTCGGGGTCCAAGGTCGCATTTTTACTGGGCAGGGGCGGAAGGTCGCCGTTTTACTGGGCAAGGTCGCCGTTTTACTGGGCAAGGTCGATTTTTTTGACCGAACTGACCTTGCCCAGTAAAACGGCGACCTTGCCCAGTAAAACGGCGACCTTGCCCAGTAAAACGGCGACCTTGCCCAGTAACTCCTTAACATTTAAATTATATATGAAAGAGAGGTTTAGGGTTAGGGGTTGAGGGAGTCTCCCAATTTGGGAGGGCGATCGCTGACAACGAGCCTCTTCAACTCCCCGCCTAGAACCCCAGCCCCGTAAACCATCAGACCTTTATGAACCGAGGTCCTTAAAACACGAATCCTGGCATCTCACACAGGACTGGCTCGAACTCCGCACCCTGCTTCTGCGTAAATCCCTCACTCTCTGCCTCAACAACGGGGTACTCCCAGTCCAAGTCGAAGCCATCGAAGCCCCACTTTCGGCAGAAGGCGATGATGTTGGCCGCAAAGGTGCCTAACATGGAGGGGAAACCCTAAACCCTAAACCCTAAACCGTAAACCCTACACCCTAAACCCTAAACCCGGGGGTTTAGGGCGCAGTGTGTAGAGTTTCGGGCGCCAGCCTCAAGCTCTTAGGCTTAGAGCCATACAGTGGAGTATCCCTGACTAAGCCTTTGAAGCCCTCCACAGCTGCCCCTTGCGCAGGTTGAACTTGAACCTGTGAACCCTTAAACCTCGAAGCCCCTTACACCCTTAGGCGCCCCTTTTGAAACTAAACCCTAAACCCTAAACCCTAAACCCTAAACCCTAAACCCTAACCCTAAACCCTAAACCCTAAACCCTAAACCCTAAACCCCCCTCAATCCCACTACACCTCCCCGACTGCCGAAGCGCGGGTCTTCTCTGCAGATGCCGCGATCTCGCTGAAGAGCTCGCAGGTCTGTGCGCCTGCGAGGTTCGCAAGCTTTGGGCCCCTCCATGACGCCTCTAGTGGCGGCCTAGGGTTTAGGGTTTAGGGTTTAGGGCTTAGGGCTTCGGGCTTAGGGCTTAGGGCTTAGGGCTTAGGGCTTAGGGCTTAGGGCTTAGGGTTTAGGGTTTAGGGCTTAGGGCTTAGGGCTTCGGGCTTCGGGCTTCGGGCTTAGGGCTTAGGGCTTACACTTGTGTTTCAGGGCTAGGGCATAGGAACCCCCAACCCTAGGTTGGATTCACTCTCGGGCGTAGGGTTTTGGGGCTGTAGGGGTTTAGGGTCTCAGGGTTTAGGGATAACTTAGGGTTTGAAAGATTAGAGTGTAGGATTTTCAGAAATTTCGGGGTTTGGGCTGTTGGGTTGTAGAGCTCAGCAGGGAATTTAGGATTTTAGGGAGTAGGGCCCCACCAAGCCCCAAGAGGCTCGCGCACGGCAAAGAAGAACCGAACTATCCCAGACTCGTACAGGGTACAAACCTACGGCAACTTGACTTGTACTTACTTAGAGGACTTGTAAGTGGGTGAAACTACAGATGTATAAGGGAGGCCAGGTAGGCTGGCAAGTCTCAAACCTTGTGGTTGCTTGTTGGTTTCCTGGGCTTGGGGTTCAGGGTTGCTTTCATGGTATGATTTTGGGAGAGCTGATCCTTGCAAGTCGGGTTTACTTTAGGTCCTTAAGGGCAGGGGGATCATGGGTAGGTACCTAGGCAACCTTAGGGAAGCTTAGGGAGCCTTAGGAGTCGTGGGGAATATTCGGGAGTCTTGCGTTACTTACCCCCCCTTGAACCCTAAACCCCAAACCCCTAAACCCGAAACCCCAAACCCCAAACCCTAAACCCTGAACCCCAAACCCCAAACCCTAACCCCCCCGCCCCCCCTGCCCCCTAAGAACCCTATACGTTTGGGGCTCAGGGATCCGATTCCTTTACGCCGGTCACTGGCCTTGCCCGTACGTTGCCGACGAGCTGGCGCTGCAGTCGTTGAAGTTCCAGCCGCCCACCTGCCAGTTTAGGGTTTAGGGTTTAGGGTTTAGGGTTTAGGGTTTAGGGTTTAGGGTTTAGGGTTTAAGGTTTAGGGTTTGGGGTTTAGGGTTCAGGGTTTAGGGTTTGGGGCAGAAACTTCGGGTTTGGGGGTTTGGGGGTTTGGGGGTTTGGGGGTTTGGGGGTTTGGGGGTTTGGGGGTTTGGGGGTTTGGGGGTTTGGGGGTTTGGGGGTTTGGGGGTTTGGGGGTTGGGGGGTTTGGGGGTTGGGGGGTTTGGGGGTTTGGGGGTTTGGGGGTTGGGGTTTTGGGGTTGGGGGTTTGGGGGTTGGGGGGGTGGGGGTTATTGGGGGTTTTGGTGGTGGTTTGGGGGTTGGGGGTTGGGGGGGGGGTTTGGGGTTTGGGGGTTTGGGGGTTTTGGGGGGTGGGGCGTTTGGGGGTTTGTGGGGGTTTGGGGGGTTTATTGGGTGGGGTTTGGGGGTTTGGGGGTTTGGGGGTTTGGGGGTTTGGGGGTTTGGGGGTTTGGGGGTTTGGGGGCTTTGTGGGCTTTGTGGGGGCTCAGGGGCTTGGGGGCTTGGGGGCTTCGGGGCTTGGGGGCTTGGGGGCTTGGGGGTTTGGGGGTTTTGGGTCGGCGCAGGGCATTAAGCCACGTAGCGTTTAGGGCTTCAGGGTCTAAACGGTTTGGGGCTGAGAAGGCAGTCATCACCTCAACTTCAAAAACCCTACGCCCCAAACCTTGAAACCCAAGCGCCCAACCCTTGGGTTGGGGTTTTGCAGCTTTCGGGTGGAGGACTAAACCCTAAACCCGAAACATTAAACCCTAAACCCGAAACCCCAGACCTGAAACTGCTCAAAGTGCAGCCTACGGCGCCAGATTGGCAAAGATGGGTACTTTTCTAATTTGGGGCTTCCAAGCTTAGCGGTAACTTTATGGGCCCCGATTATATGAGGATGGTACTACTTGGAGGTCCATTTTAGGGGTCCCCCTCTTTTAGTAAAACCCCCATGTAGGTTTAGGTTTAGTGTAGGGGTGAAGATTTGAAGAACTCGACCAGACCGACATTGCTTTTGTCGTTGTGGCGGAGCATCAGAGCCACAAGCATGCTTGCCATGACGCATGCTGCCATGGCGCGGCGTGCAAGGGGTATGGGTTGAAGCTGATGACCACCAACGACAAGCGTTCCGTGATACAGGAATGCATATTGCAGACTTGCAGACATCGCACATGTAGAAGGAGTCAGCATCGCAGTGAGGGGCGCGAAGAAGACTAAGGCGGTCCCTTCATCCGCCGCCTGCGCTTGGGCTCCCGGCCCTCCTGCCTCGCTTCACCCAGCGCCTCCGAAACGAGCTGCACGATGCCGGCATGTCCGCCGGCGCGCGCTGCGTCAAGGGCGGTCTGGCCGTCAAGCGTGGCATCCAAGCTGGCACGGTGTTGAAGGAGGAGGCGGGCAATCGGCAAGTGGCCAGAACAGCAGGCAGCATGCAGAGGCGCGAGGCCATGATCGGGCATGGAAGTGACTGTCACCCCAGACTCCAACAGCAGCCGCACGATGTCGACCTGCCCAGCACAGCAGGCCCGGAGTATCGGGCTCACACCGTCTGGGTCGGCCTGGCCGCTGGTGGCCCCGTGGCTGAGCAAGAACCGCGCCACGTCCATGTGTCCCCGGAGGCATGCGATGCCCAGCGCGGTGGCCCCGAAGGGCTCACCCTGGTTGAGGTCCGCTCCCATCTGGGCCAAGAACTTCACCACCTCAGGGATGTAGGGTTTAGGGTTTAGGGTCTAGGGTTTAGGGTTTAGGGTTTGGGGTCTAAGGAGGGGTGCACGAACAATTCGGGGCGAGGGGGGAGGTCGTTTGTTTGGGGAGGTGTTCTTGCTCAGAATTATTCCTACGGACCCTAAACCCTAAACCCTAAACCCTAAACCCTAAACCCTAAACCCTTCTTTTTGTCAAGTCCCGACCTCAACATCCCCCTTTGCCGCCGCCAAGATCAGAGGGCTCCCCGACGGGCCGGTCGCGTTGATGTCAGCGCCGGCGCCGACCTGGATAAGGAAACAAATTGGGAGGTTCTGTGTGTATAGATATGTATATATATATATATATCTGGATATATACATATATGTATACCCATATGAAAATTAAATACTCTGATCCCTACATTAAAACACAACCATAGACCTGAAACCCCCTTCTAATCCCTGAGCCCGAAACCCAAAGTAGAAACACACGCCCTCGCCAAGGAGCAAGAACGCGCGCGACTTCCCAATTCTTGACAACACATGCCATCAGCAAGGGGCTGAAGCCATCCTAGTTTGCTTAAGATAAGTTACCACAGAGTTCAAACTTTAGGTTTATGGGTTTAGTGTTCAGGGAAGAAACCACATGATGAGTCGCGTTCTAAATAGACATCTTGTGGTGACGAAAGTTAAGTTCCTCAACAGCAACCCAGCATCGTCATCCACCTTGCCGGCATCGGCGCCGCTTTGCAACAGCCAGCGCACCACCTCCACCTTATGGCTGGTTCTTAGTAGGGAATGAGGGAATCCCTTAAAGGGTATATGTAGGGGGGATGAGGTATCTCATAGAATCCCTTAAAGGGTATAGTGTAGGGCCCTAATTCTCTCAAAAAAAACCTACTAAGAGAGCCAGGGGCACCTTGCCATGGGCAGAGGCCCAGTGAAGGGGCGCCCTGCCCCCCTGGCTGTCGGGTTTGTGTATATCAGCCTCAAGGGACACAAGGAGGAACCCCTTACAAGGGGACCTTAAGGGTTATTTCGGGGTTCTTTAGGGGGCTTGGGGATATTTCGGGGTCATTTCGGGGGTTCTTTAGAGGCTATTAAGGGGTTCTTTAGGGGTTCTTCAGGGGTTCTGTAGCGGTTCTTTTGGGGATTCTTTAGGGGCCATTTAGGGGTTCTTTAGAGGCGATTAAGGGGTTCTTTAGGGGTTTTTTAGGGGTGACTTAGGGGTTCTGTAGGGAGTTCTTTAGGGGGGCCCTTTAGGGGCTTTTTAAGGGGTGATTTAGGGGTTCTGTAGGGAGTTCATAAGGGGGCTCTTTTGGGGTTATTTTAAGGGTTCTTTAGGGTTTAGTTAGGGGGTTCTTTAGGGGCTACTTCGGCTGCCCCCCTGAGCGGCCTTCGCTTCGAGAAGCAGCTTCGCCGACCTGAGGCTGCCGAAACGGGCAGCCACCTTTAAGGAGGACATGGGCCCTCAAAGGGTTTAGTGGGTTTAGGGTTTAGGGTTTAGGGTTTAGGGTTTAGGGTTTAGGGTTTAGGGTTTAGGGTTTAGGGTTTAGGGTTTAGGGTTTAGGGTTGAGGGCTTGGGGTTTAGGGTTCATTTGCTCCCCAAGCCACGCAGAGGTAGGTCCGCCGGTTCACGCTCTCGTCCGGGTCGCGCGGCGTCTGCAAGAATCCTTCCACCTTACTTCTCCAACAAAACCAAGGAATAACCAAGGAATGTAACTGTATTCTTTCCACAAAAAGGAGGGAACCACCCAAAAGGTTTGAAGTTCAACTGCTGGGGGCTTCCGAACAAATCGGGGGTACCCTTTTTTGGGGGGTTACCCCTCAAAGGGAATTCCACTCCACTTGGGGGGGGGAACATTATAACCACTACTTTTGGGGAAAATGTCCCCCCTGCTGGCAAGAAAGCAAGGCCGCAAACCTCGCATCGTCCATCTCCAGCGCCATCTGCATCACTTCCAGGAGCTCCGGGGAGGGCGCGCTGAAGGACAGGAGCACGAGGTGCAGCACCTCTTTCAAAAAAAGGAGGGAAGGTGAACCCTAAACCCTAAACCCTGAACCCTTAATTATAGGAGGGAGGGGGGGACCGAAGTTTTTGAAGCCCCCTAAATGGGGTTTATCGGGGTTTTTAGGGTTTAAGAATTCATACTATCCTACAGCACCTTGAGGGGACAAAGTCTAAGCCTCCCAGAAAGGGTTTTTGATAGTAGGGTTTAAGGGTTAATAATACCCCTAGAAGAGGAATCTATAGTCGTGTAAGGGTAACATGGCCCCCAATTTAACGGCTCATTTGGTCCGCCAGGGCACCAGAGGGGGATCAAGCGCGTCGTCGTCGCCGACGATGGCGTCGCCACGCAGCAGGCGCTGCCGGAAGCGCGGCAGGCCGGTGACGGCCCCAAGGCGCGCTTTCAGCGCCTGCACGGAGCTCTTGCCAGGACTGCCTTCCATTAGCTCCGCATACTCCTCTGCAGTGAGGGCGAGGGCTTCGGCCCCCGAGGTCATCATCAGGACTTGCAACATTCTCCCTCAACCAAACGGGCCTTGACCTTTGCAAGGCCAACGGCCAGGCTCCCCCCCCCCCCCCAGCTTGAGCACTGAAGGCGCACAGAAATCCGTAGATGCGCCGTGTTTCCCATCTTAGAGTTCAGGATTTAGGGCTCAGAGTTAAAGAGGCTCACAGATGGCGACCTTCGAACCCATAACCCTGCAGGGTTGAGGGCTAGGGGTAAGGCGGTAAGACCCACATGCCGAAGCCCTAGACCCCAAGCGCTGACCTGCACGATCAGCTCGAGCTCAAGCCCCTCTACACTCCTCTAAGCTCCCTGAAACCCCTCAAAACCCCCCCTGCCACCCTTTGTGGCCAAGCCGCACTGATCAGAGCCTTGATGGCCGAATTCTTCTCCTTCATGCCCACCTCAGCAGTGTTACGAGCTCGCCCTCAGACAGAAATCACGGAAAAAAACTCTGAGAAGCCCAAGAAAAAGGACCCCAGGAATGTGGCAGGTAAGTAGCAGGAATGCTCGGAAGCCCGAAACCCTGAGGAACATGGCAGGTAAATGGTGAGAACCATGAGAAATCCCACAACCCGAAGGGTTTATGGTTCAGGGCTTAGGTTAGGGTCTTCTGTTATCCAGAAGTAGCCAGGGTTTTGGCCTTGAGGTGAAGAGTTTAGGGTTTATGGTTTAGGGCCTTTCTTGTGCTTGGCGAGGTACATCAGGCAACCGAACTGGAAGAAAAAGTGCCTAAAACCCCAGAAGCCCCAAACCCTAAACCCCAAACCCTAAACCCCAAACCTCAAACCCCCAAGATCCTCCTGAACCTAGCGGTTCTAAGTGTGGAAGGGGGGAAGTCGGTACAGATCTTGACCTTCCACAGGGTCCCTGAAGAGTTCTCTACTGAGAACCAGAACCCTAAACCCTAAACCCTAAACCCTAAACCCTAAACCCTAAACCCTAAACCCTAAACCTACTGCAGAGAGAACGAAAGCCCAGGCGGCCGTCAGCGCTTCGTACCCGCGAAGCACGCGGGTGGGAGAGCAGGGCCACTCACAACGCAGGCCATTGGGGTCCTCGGGCTCGCGAGGCCCGGCAAAGTGGGGCTTGAGGCACGAGGCTTTTGGGATTGTGTTTTTGGATTGAGGGTTTAGGGTTTAGGGCTTAAGGCTTAGGGTTTAGGGTTTAGGGTTTAGGGTTTAGGGTTTAGGGTTTAGGGTTTGAGGTTGAGGGCTTAGGGTTTAGAGCTTAGGGTTTCGGCGCTTACCCCCAACCCTGAACCCCACTTCGATTTGGTTGAGGGGCTTCGGTTGGTGAAACCCCTATAAGACCTTGAAGCCCTAAGCCCGAAATGGAAGCCCTTGACCCTGCAACCCTGAAACCCCTAAAGCCCTGAAACCCCTAAGGCCCTGAATCCCTACTTGGAAGCTCAATGGCACTTGTCAACCAACTATGTCTGTACCTATAACCGACTTACAAGCCCCTTAGGTACCCTAATATGGCTATAAGTACGGGTTATAAGCACAGCCACAGTTACTTTGGTTAATGAGTACCATGAACCTCCAAGTAAACCCCAATATGAAGCCAGGGATTCGTTCCAGTCTGGCTTGAAGGCTGGATCATTGCACGCCTCCGGGCAAAGGCCGTCCTGTTGGGGTTTAGGGTTTAGGGTTTGAGGTTTAGGGTCTAGGGTTTAGGGTTAGGGTTTGCGAAGCCTCAGCTTGCAAAGCCCCAGCCACAAACCCTATCACCTTACGGGAAGCCTTGCCGGTCATCCTGACCCCAAAAATCCTCAAGCGTTTAGGGGGCCCACTCGATTAGAATTTGTATTTTTTCGTACATTCTGGGGTTGAGGGTTCGGGGTTGAGGATTTAGACCCTAAACCCGAAACCCTAAACGTTTAGGAGGTTCTAAACCCCTGAATGAAACCCTCGAACCCTAAGCACCTCAGCCCTGAAACTTGCAACCCAAAACCCCACGAGTACGGCCCCCGGCATCGCATGTTGGTGGGGTCCCCCCCCTTTCCTTAGAGACTGAGACCCACCATTATGTGCCGTTGGAACGAAACCTTCAAACCCAAACCCTTGACCTCCAATGTCAACCCTCAAACCCAGACTCAAACTACAAAGTCCTGAAACCCCAAACCGGACATTCTTGTTGTCTGGGTCTTGAAGCGAAATATTCCGAGGCCCATTTGATTCAAATTGGTTTTGTGTAGTCTTTGAAAGCATGCAGAGGTCATGAGAGGATGACATTCAGGCTTCGCATTAAGACCCTAAGCCCTAAGCCCTACACCCTAAGACCCTAACCCTAAGCCTGCGTTAGGCCCAGTGCCTAAGGCTGCAAGGCAAGGCAACTGTAACCAATGGAATGGATTCACTAAGGGGGTCTTCCCTTCTTACCCAAAGGTCTATGGTCACTTCCCCTTTTTGGGGTGCTCATTCTAAGGCGGCCCCTCTTATTTCGGGTACCTCCAAAAGACAATATACCCTAATCCCGAAGCTTCTGGTTTAGGGTTTAGGGTTTAGGGTTTAGGGTTTAGGGTTTAGGAATTAGGGTTTTCTGGGGGTCTCCTGGCCCTCGTGCCCGCTGGGGTGGTCTGCATTGGGGTCGTTGCTCTTCAGCATGAAATCTTGGCGCGGGAGGCACAGCTGGGCTTGGGAAAGTAGGGGGACCCCTAGCATAGACCCCCCAAATCGTAGGATTCCCTTATGATAAGGACAAGGCACCCCTGCTTTCGGAAACCCCCCCCATATTGGGGATGAGGATGTAAGTGGGGCCCCCCTATGTGTTGGGAGGAATCTAATGAAGATAGGGGGGCCCGAAAATTGAGAGAATGACCTGGGACCTTAAACCCTAAACCCTAAAACCTAAAGACTACCGCGGGTTGGAGGCATGAGTCTGCACTTTTGCGACTTGACCTTCATATGTGTCCGGGAAGGGAGAGAATATAGTCGGGAGACCCCTCAACCCTAAACCCTAAACCCCAACCCTAAACCCTAAACCCTAAACCCTAAACCCTAAACCCTAAACCCCGAAGCCAGGGAGCCTGGAGTGACCGTGGCAAAGCCATACATGAAGTGAGTGCAGAGGCTGCCGTCCACGCCCATTTCGAAGGCATCCCGTCCTGGCACCATGTTGCAGGTTTGGGGGGTTTGGGGGGGGGGGGGGGGGGTGGGGCGGTTTTGGGGGGAAGGCTGGGACTTTGGGGCTTTGGGGCTTTGGGGCTTTGGGGCTTTGGGGGTTTTTGGGGTTTTTGGGGTTTTTGGGGTTTTTGGGGTTTTTGGGGTTTTTGGGGTTTTTGGGGTTTGTGGGGTTTTTGGGATTTGGGGCTTTTGGGGTGTTGGGGGGGCTGGTTTCGGAAATTGGGGGGGGGGGGGGGGGTACCTTTTTGGGGTCCCTGTCATAACAGGGACCATGGAATCCTACTATTGGGGGGGTCTATATGGGGGTCCCTAAGCCCTAAACCCTAAACCCTAAACCCTAAACCCTAAACCCTAAACCTCCCCCTATTTTCGTAAGCCCCCACAATTCCACTCCCATCATCCCCCATCCTTGGTTCACCAGGCCGGTCCGGTAACGCGCCCAGTTGGTGAAGTAGCCTTGAGGCTGCGGGCACCCTAAGCCCTAAACCCTAAACCCTAAACCCTAAACCCTAAACCCTAAACCCTCAACCCTCAACCCTCAACCCTCAACCCTCAACCCTCAACCCTCAACCCTCAACCCTCAACCCTAAACCAAACCGGCTGGGATTCACTCTTTGCTCGAAACCCATAAAAAAAACAAACAGGGTCTTCGGACTTCCAGTCCGAGATCGAGGGTTTTGGGGTCCAGGGCTTAAGGTTCGGGGCGCCTTCCTGCGCACGATTTAGAGTTTAGGGTTTCGGGATTTAGAGTTTGGGGTTTACGGTTTAGGGTTATCTGAAATGAGTGGCAGACGTTGATCCAGCCGTCTGTGCCGGTGGAGAGGCTGCCCTTCTCTAGGGTGTCGCGCTTCTGCAGCATCGACAAGCCTCCCGAACCTTAGAGGCAAGGATTGCGCCGGTGTTTAGGGGACCTGTTCGGGGTGGTGGAATAAACCCTAAACCCTAAACCCTAAATCCTAAACCCTAAACCGGGGGACACTTGCAACTATCTTGCGGAGGCCCTCTAAGGCTGCCGCTCTTCTCTTTCGACGCCGACGCGGCCACCAAGATGAGGAGAAGAGACACTGTACCTGCACCATTGTTGGGGTACCATTCAAAACTAATATTTTTGTGCCTTATTGGGATTAAGTATTCATAAAAATGTAAAATGATTGTCAACAATGACCCAGGGTACGGCCCATGATGCAAGCACACTTTGGACGCGAGACGGGGTTGAGGAGTAGAGCCGAAATGACTGGCAGCGCACGGCACATTACCATCTGGAGGGCCGAGCTAACTAACGGGCCCCTTGTTTGGTGCACGCATTGTGCACTATCAGGAAACACTCTACCAGAGACCCCGAAAAGGGTTCACGGCACATTAGTAGATGAACCGCATCTGACATTTCAAGATGTGCCCCTCGCAAAGGGAAACGGCATCTGAGGCAGCTTTCCTCCATGTCTTCCAAGCTGCGACTGCTCATAAAGAGCTGCACTGCGGGCTGAGTGCTGCACTACAGTTTGGGGTTTAGGGGCATAGAACCCCGTGCAGCGGAAAGAGAACTACAAAGGTTTGTGTGTAGCTCTGACTTGTCACGAGGGGGACGGGTCTCCAAACCCTGCAACTGCGACACTCAACCCTAAACCCTAAACCCTAAACCCTAAACCCTAAACCCTAAATCCTAAACCCTAAACCGCTCGTACGGACTTTTTCCCTGGGCCTAAGCCGGCCTCAAGCTGCATGCGACGACTTCGCTCGGCACGTTTTTAACGTACCCGGAAAGCAGCGGCACTGTTCCAAACCAGCATCCCAAACATCCGACGCTACACCAGATGACCACATCTTGCGTAGGATGGGGACCCTGGCAGGGAACTGGGCCGGTAAGCATGTCCAGAAGTACCGGACAGCTTCGTCGTGGATCTTTCGTGGGCTCCACCCGACAACGACACCAGCACGCCAGGCGCGTGCTGTTGAAAAGGGAGATGACATAAGTGTTACATAACTTAGAATCCTTAAAGGAGAAAAGGAGGGCGGTTTGTTTTACAAGCCGCTCTCAGAAGGCGGCGTCGACGGGCTGTTCGGGGGAAGATGGCTTCTCCTCCTCATCGGGAGCTGGAACAGCTGTGAACCACTTGCCACCCCAGTTTCGGATGGGAAGCAGCTGCACCTTGGGGATGAACTGATGAACCCTACAAAGGGTTTGGGGGGTTCATCTTACCCTGTATAGGGTATATCCCGAAAAGGGTTTAGGGGTTCATATACCCTAGTAGGAATGACTGTATAGTACTATAGGGCAGGTGGAGTTGTGAACCCTAAAGGGGTATTAGGGGTTCATGTTGCCTTATAATAGGGATTCTAGCAGTGTAGGGTAGATGGCCCTACATGGGTTTGTACGGTTCATATGACCTTATCATAGGGATTATAGTAGTAGAGGGTAGATGACCCCAATTTGGGGGTCCTTTGGTCCCCAAGGCACGAGGACCAAGACCACGAAGGCTGCGGCCGGGGATACCAGTGAGTCCAAGCCGGTCAAATCGAGCAGCTGCTCCTTTTTGGGGCAGATCTCGGTAGCCCTAAACCCTAAACCCTAAACCCTAAACCCTAAACCCTAAACCCTAAGCCCTAAACCCTAAACCCTAAACCCTAACCCTAGACCGCTCCTGGGGGCAGATGTCGGGCAGCCTGCCGAACATGATGGCTTCGTCGAACATCTCCGGATCCTCGATGCCCGGGCCGAAGCTCCGCGCGAAGGTGCCCAGCCAAAGCAAGAGCCCATCCTTTCTAATGGGGATTTTGGGGAATAGGGTTTAGGGTTTAGGGTTTAGGGTTTAGGGTTTAGGGTTTAGGGTTTAGGGTTTAAGGTGCTTCCAGGCCTATGTAAGGTTGTGAATGGAAGTTGAGCGGCTGAACGAACCCTGTGTTCGCTGAAGATTGTGCTACGTGCTTGATGGGCCCTATCGATTTCGAGGACTAGCACGCCCTACAGCTACAGACCAGCAAGAGCCAGAACTTTCGGGTGGGCTCTTATCGCTTTCCGAGGCCCAGCACTCGTATCCAGCAGGCATGCAACATCGAGACAAGATTGGAGAAAGTTTGGTCCTTGGGGAGTGCAATCTCTAGGACGACGCGGGTCACCGCCCCAGCCACCAGGGACAAGAACCCAGCCTCAGGCTGGCCATTGTTTGGGTTTAGGGTTCAGGGTTTAGGTTTTAAGGTTTAAGGTTTAGGGTAGCATGTTTGGGGCTTTGAAGGCGATTTAGGGGTCCGCGGAGGGGGGGTAGGGTTTTTTTTTTTTGGGTTGACCCGCCACCCCAACAAATCCCTGGAAAGTGGTAGGCCCACGCTGTTTCAGGCTGCTTTGTGGAGCCCTGCCTCGGGCTTGATGTTCTTCCAGTACACCAAGGCGAACAAGGGCACCACGCCCGCGGCGAAGACGACGTCGAAGGCGACGATCAGGAAGTAGCCTGTCTCGTACCCGAAACCCTAAACCCTAAACCCTAAACCCTAAACCCTATACCCTAAACCCTAAACCCTAAACCCTAAACCCTAAACCCTAAACCCTAAACTAGCCTGTCTCGTTCGGCCGGGTGGTCGCGATGAGGCCCGCAATGACGGAGAAGAGGAAGGTTGACCACCGGGTGATCTTGAGGAGATTCTCGTCCGACACCCGGTTCCTTGGGCTCAGGGTTTACGGTTTAGGGTTTAGGGTTTAGGGTTTAGGGTCTAGGGTCTAGGGTTTAGGGCAGGAAACCCTGAACGGGCACCCTGCGTGTCGCAGCCCAGCCCAACCCTAAACCCCAAACCTTACTTAGAAGGATCCTACGGTCGTTTAGCTAACGGGTCCAATAGCCAGGGACTCCAAAACACCCTAAATTAAGGAACATTCCTTAATATATCGAAGGGATCCCTTCTATGGTTTCAGGAAATATTCCTTACATCAAGGAGTATTTTTGGAGTCCCTGAGTACCCTAGATATGTCCTCCCTACACTGCACTGAGCCGCGTCTTCCGGAGGAGGTTGTGAGTGAAGACGGTGCCGAGGGCCACGACGGCCCCGTCGGCCGTGGACATGGAGGCCGCCACGATGCCCAGCAAGTACCTTACTTGGAGGTTCATGGTACCTATCAACCAACTTGTGACTGTACTTATAGGGTTTAGTGTCTAGGGGGTTTAGGGTTTAGGGTTTAGGGTCTAGGGTTTAGGGTTTAGGGTTTAGGGATTAGGGCTTAAGGGTTATAGGGCCGTTGATCAAGGCTTTCTTTGGGTGACCCCCCTCAACTGCCAAGTGCTCAAGACACTCCGAAAAAGCCTTGCAACAGCGATCCGGCAAGGCTCGCAGAAGGTTAAGGCGTTAAGGCTTGACAATTTGCAGGGCTCTTGGAGTAGCGGCAACCCGAATCCCCAAAAGACATTCAAGCGCAAGGCGCCAAGTACCAAGCGCACCGTTCATGGGGAAGTTGGCCTGGCCCATGCAGTCGGGATCCCACGTAGCAGTGACAAACAACGAACAAGAGAAAGAAAGTTCCAAAAGGGACAGAGATAAAGTCATAAAGACCAGCCGGGGCAAACCCTAAACCCAATTTATCAGGGTTTCAGGTCTGAAAACCCGCACAATAACCCCCAAAATGAAGCGGTTCCCTGGCAACCGTACCTGGCACCTGCCTAGGAAATCATGAGGGTCGTCTTGCGTATTGATAGTGCCCGTCTGGCCATTTTTAAGTGCCCTGAACCCTCAAACCTAAACTCAACCTGGAGTTTTGGGGCGGAAGCCTGAAAGCTGCATGGCAGATCCCCTAATCAACCCCAAGCCCTACTCCCGTTTGGCCAAAAAAACGCCCCTAAAGGCCGCAACCCTCAAGTGGCAAAGCCGCAAAGCCCTAACACCCTAAACCCAAACTCCCTAAACCCTAAACCCTAAAACCTAAACCCCAAACTCGAAACCCCAAACCCTAAACTAAACCTGAAACCCTAAAACCCCAAACCCGAAACCCCCCCCCTGAAGCCCCTAAAGAGCTGAAGCGGCGCCAACTAAACCTGCAACCCTAAACCCCTCAACCCGCAACCCCCCTAAAGAGCCCCTAAAGAACTGAAGTGGAAACCCTAAACCCTAAACCCTAAACCCTAAACCCCCTGAATAGCCCCTTAAAGAGCTGAAGTGTCGCGCCTCGTGCCCAGCACCGTAGCCGGAAGTTCCCTCCCAGTCGGTGAAGGCGTGGCACTCCGGCTTGTCACAGGTGAGCATCTTCCTGAGAAGGCTTCAGGTTTAGGGTTTAGGGTTTAGGATTTAGGGTTTAGGGTTTAGGATTTCTCGGGTTTAGGGTTTAGGGTTTAGGCTTTCGGGTTTAGGGTTTAGGGTTTAGGGTTTGGGGTTTCTCGGGTTTAGGGTTTAGGGTTTAGGCTTTAGGGTTTAGGGTTTAGGGTTTAGGGCTTAGGGTTTAGGGTTTCGGGCTTTGGGGTGTTTGGATTTTTTTTTTTTTTTTGGGGGGGGGGGGGGTTGGGAGAGCTTCCTGAAGGTTTCGGGTTCAGGGTTTAGGGTCTAGGGTTTCGGGCGTTTGGGCTTTTGAGGTTTTTGGGGGCTTGGGCTTTTGAAGGTTTCGGGGCTCAATGTTGCGCAACTCAGAAGGGCTGTTTTTTCAGAGGTCTGCGGATTCAAAGGCCCCTAGCAGAATCTCCCTCTCTTTCTCTTTCCAAAACCCTGAACCTCTGACCTGACCCTAAAAATAACTCTCGGAGAAATCGAAAAGCCCTAAGCCACATAAAGTCTTAAAACCTCTAAACCCCTCACCCTAAACCCTAAACCCTAGACCCTAAACCCTAGACCCTAAACCCTAGACCCTAAACCCCTCACCCTAAACCCCTTTGAAAAGAAGCACCCCGAAGTCTCCACAGTGCCCAGAAGTGCGGCCCAAGCTCAAAACGGCATAGGGGTCCTGGGCTGGCGCTCTTCTCACCCGAATCCCGAAAGCCTAAGCCCCCTAAACCCTAAACCCTAAACCCTAAACCCTAAACCCTAAACCCTATGCCGGTGCTCTGGGGGGGGCCCTTGAAGGTTTAGGGTTTATAGAGCTTAGGGTTTGGGGTGTGGGGTTGGGGTGGGGGTTTGGGGGGGGTTTCGGGGGGGGGGCTACAAGCGCTGACGCTAGTGAGATGTTGATTCCTGCGTAGAGTTCGGTCTGAACTTGAGGGCTGAGGTTCTAGGTGCTTCGAGGGGCTTCAAGACTCGGACCATGCAACCCTTACCCCTTAACCATAAACTAAAAACCTAAGCTTTTAGGTGGAGGTTTAGGTTTCAGGGTTCAGGGTTCAGGGTTTAGAGGTTTGGAGGTTTGGGCTTGTAGGGCCCTGTGAACGATCCAGCGTCCGGCTTCCACTCGCCGCAGGTGGGCACGCCCGGGAGGGGTACGGCCTCAGCACACCATGTGGTCATGAAGCTTAGGACCACAAGCTAGTGCCATGCACCTACACTCCACCGCCATGCACCTTCGGGGGCCTCGGCCTTAAGGGCGGCCGAGGCGCGTTGCAGGTCTTGTTGAGGCTCGGGTCGGCGGCCGCGCCTCCGAAGCAGCCGATCACCGTGATGTCCGCGGAGCAGGAGTTGGCCACGAACTCCGCGTGGGGCGAGGAGGGCCCGTAGAGCGCCCGCATGGTGCCGGCGTTCCAGGTGTTGAAGATGCCCACGCAGCCGGCGATGATCCCGGCCAGGATGCAGGAGATTTGGGCCACCCTCCCGCTCTTGGCCGAGAAGCAGCGGGCGTTGAAGTCCAGGGCCATGCAGTTCCCGAAGGCCAGGACGATGACCGTGGCCCAGTTGAAGAAGATGGCGTTGGGGATGGGATCGTAACCTCGCATGGCCCTTAAAGCCCTCTGAAAGATATTTTATGAGTAGGATCCTCTTAAATTCAATATAAGGGCAAAATATGAAATATCCCCCAGGGCCTACCTAGTGACTGTCGGGATCCGTCAAGCCCGCACCGATCACGGGCATGTCACCGACCGGGTACGCGGGGGAGACTCCAGGCGTGCTGGGCATGTTGGCCTGGATCCATGCTGTCGCCGCGACGAACCCAGTCCAGCCAATGATTGCCTGGATAACGTCGGTGTAGGCCACGGACAGGAGGCCACCGGCGCAGGAGTACATCCAGATGAGGAGGGTGGCCAGGACGATCCCGACGTACTCATCCATGCCGAAGAGGTAGGACGTGACCTTCCCACAGCCCACGAGGTTCCCCGCAAGCAGGAAGATGAAGGAGATCATCGTCACCAGGGCGACCATCACCTCGGCCGCCTGGCCATAGACGCGGGCGAAGGCGTCCGGGAGCGTCAGCAGCTTCATGGCGTGCAGGGGCTTGGCAAGGAAGGCCCCGACAATGAGCCTCTTCCATGCGAGTCATGCGCTGCAAAAAAAAGAGACCGAGGTAAAAAAAAAAAAAAAGGTGGGCAGCGCCAGGTCTAGAAGCTTCTTCGACCATCGAGGCTCACAAAGAGAGAGAGAGAGAGAGAAAAAGACTAGTTGAACCCAAAAACAGCTGTGTAAGGCTAACGGCAGCTGGGGCTCAGGGAGAGGGAGAGGCCGATGGGAAGGGCGGCGCCATCCCAGAAGTGGTACTTGTAGGCCAGGTCCAAGTTCCCGAGCGCGGAGCTCGCATCGAGGCACTGGGAGCCCAGGGTGCAAACCAGGATCCACACCGGGAGGTCGCGGCCGGCCACGAAGAAGTTCTCCGAGTTCCCCCCGACCTTGAAGTAGGTCGCGAGCCCCGCGGCCATGGAGATCACGATGAAGCCCAGGACCACGGCGGCCCGGCCTGTGAAGTCCTCCACAGACATGGGGAAGGGAGAGGGACAGGGGATCCCGCACTTGAGCCACTGCAGGGCGGAGTCGTACTTGGAGCACTTCTCCGCCTCGGCCTTGTCTGCCTGCGGGGCAAAGGAGCCTTGGTTGTTGCCCGGGTAGACCTCGGGGTAGGGCACCCGGGCCTCCTCGTAGCCCGCGGTGCAGTCGCTGCCGCTGCACCGCGTCTTCTGCTGCCAGGATTGGCACTTGTCGCTGTCGCACTTCCGGGTGCCCGCCTTGGAGAAGGTGCAGTCCTCGATCACTCCTCACGGGCAAAGAGCAAAGAGGGAGGGAAAAATTGCCGGCAACGGCCGAAAAAAAGGATGACATGCCACTGCGCTGTCCTGTGTTGTTTCAAGCACCTCCCTAAACATGACATGACATGGCGCGACCTTTCGTCCGAGGCCCCCGCCCTCGCAGATCGCCCCGTGGCCGAGGACCGGGTTCCCGGCGGCGCAGCGAGCCCCCGTGAGGCGCTCGATCTCGTCGCTGCACTCCATGGCGGTGCCGTCCGGCATGAGGAAGGTGGAGTCGCGCGCGGAGAAGTCCCCCACCAAGCCGCCCGGCACGCTGAAGACGTCCGCCGTGGGCAGGACGGAGTCGGGAATGGGCGACAAGATCTCCTGGTATGGCAGGCACATGGCGGGATAGTCGGGGTCCAAGTTCTTCGACCACGGGCAGTCGAAGATCTCGTAGTCAAACAACTCGCCGTTCATCACGGCCTTGCCATCTGTCCTGGGAGTGTAGGTGCCGCTTGGGTCCTCGGTAGCCCGGCAGCCATATTCTAATAAGGGCACCCTTTTTTGGGGTTGGCGATTTTAGAAGGGAAACCAGAACCAACAAAAAGGGGTAAAGGGTACCACTGGGCTAGCAAGGGTCGGAGCCATAGGCTGCACCGGTGTCGGGGTCGGTGATGTCCAGGAGCCGGCGGCGCTTCTCCACATGCTCACGGATCTTCTTGGCCGTGCCGTCGCCCGGGCGGTATTTGTAGCGCATGTGGTGGTCTCTCCACGGGGTCGTGCCGATGCTCCGGTAGATCTTCGCCCACCGGGATGACCACGTTCCCTGGCCCTCTGCTGACGCCATGGCCAGCAGAGTCAGCCACACCATGCGGCTTGCAAACGCCATCGTTGCGAGGACGACCCACAAACGACCGATGACCAGCACCCGTCACTTCAGCCAAATGCTGAGGGCATCGTTGCATGAAGTTTGCAGGCACTTCTGTGTGCAACTCAGCAAAGCAGGGCACAAAGCGACCTGAACTGCCCCCACATCTCTCAAGCAGTGCTCTAACTACACGTTGGCCCCTTCTGACTGATCATGAAGCAGTGCCTTGGACTTTGGGGAACCCGAAGAGACCCAAATGGAGCGAGCACTGCCCATATGGTGGTTTCCGAAATGGGGTACCTTATTGGGGTCCTTTTGTCAGGGGATCGTACTATTTGCGGGCTATCTTGGGGGGCCGCTATTTTCGTAAACCCCCATCTAGGCATGGACCCGGCCAAGCTCTTGTCTCACCATTTTTGCTCGTAGCACCAGCTCCGATGGTCGGCAGCCGGCGTAGCCACAAGGGCCTCAAGGGTTTGGGGTTAAGGGCTGAGGGTTTATCGTTTAGGCACGCGGAATTCGGCCGCAAGACAAACTTAACCCTCCAAAAACCACAGACACAGACCCTCCAGATCCCCATTGCGCGAGGACCCTTCTTCCAAGCAGCCCGAATGCGAGCGCGGTTGTTGGAAACCAGCCCTTCAGCAACCTTGAAACGGAAAAAAGGTCATCTTGAAGCAGAAGCAGGTGCAGCCTTTCCTTCATTTTTGCTCTTCAGGGGCCGTGCAGCGTTGACTACTCGAGCTCCTCCATCATGTCCATGTCCTGTTGCTCTATGGTGGCCGGGCCCTCACTAGCTCCAAGAACCTCCTGCTCCTCAGTGGTCAGGGAGGATAACAGCACAGCTTCCTGAAGCAGGTCGTCGACGGCCTGGGGTTCGTAATTGCCTGCTTGGATTTCAGCGGCCCGCTGCGTCAGCAGCTTCCGGTCGATTCCGGGAACGGCCCGCATGGTGGCTTGGAAGACCTTCGACAACAGCGCGTCCCGAGGTACACCGGTGAGGCTCGCGAGCTGATGAGAGCCCTGCGTACTGGGGGCCTGCGCTAAGCCTTCCGCGACCTTCCGGACCTCTGGCTCCGTCTCCGGCGTGGCCCGGCCAAGAAGCTCGTCAAGCTGCTCCTGCAGCGGCTGCTCAAGTCGAGTGGAATCTGCCAGCCTGCCGTCCACGCCGTCCTCTCCGTTCTCTTCCAGGACATCCCAGGACCCCTGCATGCCGAAGCCATGCATGGCACCACCAAGCGTAGCCCCGGCTCCGGCCCCGACGGCCCCGACACCGGTCAGCAGAAGCCCACCCCCGCGTGCCAGGACTCGGGCATTCCGGGCCTGGTACTCCAGCAACCGGTTCTTCGGCAGGACCTTGTAGTGCCGGCTGTGCTGGTAGGACCACTCCAACGCCTTCTTGACATCGGCCAGCAAGAAGTCGGGGATCCCGCCTTTGAACAAGTGGTCCAGAGGAGTGCCGTTTTTGACGTCTTCCAGCAGCCGGTTCTTGAGCATTTGCTTATAAGATGTGCGGCTTCCAGGCCCGTAAGTCTTGTGCAGTACCATTTCAATGTTGCTTAACCTCCGCGCAGCATGCCTCACTAACCGTGGCTTTGCCAACCGAGATCCCGCGCGGGTGGCCGCATTGGCCATCGCGACTCCTGCTCCTGGGTGCTGCTCGCGAGCGTCGCGCAGGCAGCCAGCGCGCAAGAACAGGGCAGAAAGAAGCAAGAGCTGCATTCTTTAGAAGCAAAAGGGTGTTTTCTCGAACAACAACGCGGCTGCGCTCTGTGATCTAGGCTCTCAACACTCCATGAACTCCTCCGAGTCTAACATAAAAAACTCCAACCATCTGCGTTGGGTTTGGGCTTGAGGGGAGCAGCTGTAGGCATCTTGGAGGAACTTGAGAGGCTTCTCCAACGCCCAGGTCTTCAGATTACTCTCCTGTTGCCATCCCTAAACCCTGTAAGCCCGAAACCCTGAACCGAAAACCCTAAACCCTAAACCCTAAACCCTAAACCCTAAACCCTAAACCTATGAGCCCGAAACCCTAAACCCTATACCCTAAACCCTCCAAGCCCGAAACCCTAAACCCTGTACCCTGAACCCTACAAGCCGGAAACCCTGGACCCTAAACCCCAGTGCTTTTGGGCCAGTATCTCGAGGTGAACTTAGGGCCCGCGCCTCGAAGAATCTTCGAAAGACACCTGAGTCACAGGGCTTAGGGTTTAGGGTTTAGGGTTTAGGGTTTAGGGTTTAGGGTTTAGGGTTTAGGGTTTAGGGTTTAGGGTTTAGGGTTTAGGGCTCAGGGTTTAGGGTTTTGGGCTTAGGGTTTAGGGTTTAGGGCTTAGGGCCGCGGACAGGGCAAGAGAGGGCCGCGCTTGCATGCTCAACAACCGCTCAGTTTTCCCACCGCTGCAATGCGGGCAAGCCCACCGCACGTCACACGTCCTGTCACAATCGCGTGCCTGGAGGCTTAATCCTCCGGGGAAAATGTGAGGAGGGTCCCTGACTCGGGAAACTTGCGGGGCTTTGGGGTTTCGTGGTGCAGAGTTCGGCTTGTGGAAGGGCTTTGAGGGTTTTGGGCTTTCGATTCCCGGACACGGACTCCTCGAGTGAGACCTCTGCACCCAGTTGGGCTCTCAGGTGCTGCAATGGACTTCCCGCGTGTCGCCGGGGAGGATCGGCAGAGGGTAGGGATGGAGGAACTTCGTGAGCCAGTACCTCGGTGCGATGTCCTCTGGATCTTTTGGGCCCCAAAAGCCACCCTAAACCCAAAACCCTGAACCCCAAACCCTAAGCCCTAAACCCCTGACCCTAAACCCTAAACCCCAAACCCTAAACCCTAAACCCTAAACCCTAAACCCCAAAGCCCTCGAAAGTGCGGCCCAACCGCTGGGGCGGAGGCTGCAGGGCCACCTCCGAGTCGTCGCAGGGCTTGCCTCAAAAGGGTACATAAGAAGGGTTTAGGGTTTAGGGTTTGGGGTTTGGGGTTTAGGGTTTGGGGTTTGGGGTTGAGGGTTTAGGGTTCAGGGTTCAGGGTTCAGGGTTCAGGGCTTAGGGTTTAGGGTTTAGGGTTTAGGGTTTAGGGTTTAGGGTTTAGGGTTTAGGGTTTAGGGTTTAGGGTTTAGGGTTTAGGGTTGGGAGTCCCCTAGAAGGGGCCCGGAATCCTACATCTTGGGGTTTTAGGGGTTAGGGTTTAGGGTCGAGGGTTTCGGGCTTTGGGGCAGTTTCGGGTTCCACTCTATGCCCAAGAAGCCCCCAAAATAGACGCCTGTGTGTCCCTCCTTGAAACTTTCGTCCCCAAACTGCCTCCTTTCATGCAGGTGCGCTGGCCGTTGCCCTCCTCCTTTAAGACCACCTTGTGGGGGGACTATGATTCAGGGTGTTTCTTCCTGGTTCGGCAATGTTTCGGAGAATGAAGTTTGAACGTTTGGAGGATGAAGCTTGGGGCTTTGCTCACTGAATTCGGGACCTTAAGTAGGGGGTTGCGTGTTCAGCCCACCTGCTCGCCCTGATACTCTGCGTAGCTCTTTGGGGTGCCGAACCAGGGCACCGGCGTGTACTTCAGGGTGAAGCTCTCACCCTTCTTGCGTGCGAGCGAGAGCACGCGACGGAGCTCGTACGCCGGCTCCACGTACGGCGGCTGCGAAACCTCGACCGTGGTGTTGCCACGGTTGTGCAGAGCCGAGGACCCATGGTCGTCGTCGCGGTTGTAGTAGTTCCGCGCTGCGTAGAGCTCGAAGTAGCGCCCAGGCGTACCGACCCCGATGAGGAGATCGCGCGCGTAGGGGAGCCTGGGGACTGAGTGAACCCCAAAGCTGGGATTATACTGATTATACTGTCAACGCACTCCCCCCCCCTCTTATTCTGGTCTAGTCATGCCAACTCTCTACTGAAGTTCTTGGCCTTTTTTAAACGAATCCGGGAATTCTTTGAAGCTCCACTCAGTCTCCAAGGAGCATGAGGTGGGTGGCCTCGGCAGGGCACAGCTCGCGCATCGTGGGGGACGTGGTCTCATCAACCCGGATGAGTCCCCCACCAAAGGCGTCCTTGGCCCAGGCCGGCTCAGTGTTCTTAGGGTCGGCGAAGTGCTCCTGCAGGAGTCCGGTGGGGACCGCAAGGTGGTTGGTGCCGCCCCACTGCTTCACGTTGCCGTACATGGTGCTGGAAGCCATGGCCATCACGCCTGCCACCGGCGCCAGGAAGCCGTAGACGAAGCCGATGAGGATGGCAAGGAAGGAAAGCCAGGCAGCACCCCCGAAGCCCTTGGCGCTTGGGCGGTGCCCGCTCATGATGCCGCGCAGGTAGAGGAAGGCCAAAGAGAGGAAGAGGACGCAGGCGGTGTCGACGCCTTTGTGGATGGCAAACATCGCCGCTCCCACCGCCACACATAGGGACAGCGGCAGGATCAGCGAGTTCGACTTGCCGAGGGCCTGGCTCACGATGCCTGGGAGGAAGATCACGAAGCGGCAGCACATCGAGATGGAGAAGCCGCCGGCGTAGGTCATGGGCATGAGGTTGATGGTCTGGTGGAAGGCCAAAGCCAGGACCACGCCCGCAGTCGGGCGGAAGGTGAGGCAGTAAGCCACGGCGAACTCCAGGGCGGCCACGAAGACCGGGGCGATCTTCAACATGATGTTGGCGAAGGCGCTGCCCGGAGGCACGAGCTCCGCGGTGAAGAGCCCGGCCATGAGCTCCGAGAGGAGCACCGGGGCGCAGGAGCCGCGGACGGTGTACCAGCTCGTGGTGAGCTTCCAGAAGGCGGCGCTCCAGTAGAGGACACAGAGCTCCATGCGCGCCGCGGGGAGGAACCTCCCCGGAATATACGGCTCAACTGCGGTCGTACATCCTACCGGTAATAGCCTCGGACCGGATGCCTTCTCAGATGTCCTAAGGCCTTCCTTCCTGACCCCCCTAAAATCCCCTAAAACCCCCTACAATCCCCTTAAAGCCCCTAGAAGCCCCTAAACTCCCCCAAACATCCCCTCAACATATCCGGCCCCTTCTTTTCGGAGCCGGGGGGGGGCGGGGGGCCTCTTGGCCACCGCCTCCTTGCCACCCCCCGCCAAGGCCGCCAGCACGAAGGTCAGCTCCAGGAGGGCCGCCCAGACCATGTGGTCCCAGACGGCCGGCATCCAGTAGAACCTGCGGCTGCTGTTGGGGCTTAGGGTTTAGGGTTTAGGGTTTAGGTTCTAGGGTTTAGGGTTTAGGGTGGGTTTAGGGTTTAGGGTTTAGGGTTCAGGGTTTAGGGTTCAGGGTTTAGGTTTCATCTTGCATAACTGTACAAGATTGTGATCTCCTGCTATTATATGTGTTACTATCATAACGACTGCGATTATGACTATGGGTATGGCCATGAGTAGATTCTGGTATGAGACTGTTGTAAGAACCTCTTCTGTCTCAGGTGAAGTGACCCTTGGACCAATTGGATATAGCGTGGGCAACGCGGTTTACTTGCTCTAGGGGTACCCTTTTGGGGGGGGAGGGGTTCCTGGAAGAAGGATGACAGTACTTTGGGATATAGAGTTTAGGGTGCACTCTGGGGCTAGGGGATTCAGGTTTAGGGTTTAAAACCCTAAATACTTGAACTTAATGGCAACCCAGGGACCAGGAGACGATGTTGGCCACATGCGCCACCAAGAGCACCCAGGGGTTGGGGAAGAGGAAGGAGACGACCAACCTCGGTTTGCCTTTAAGGCCTAAACCCTACACCCTAAACCCTAGGCCCTCAACCCTAAACCCTACACCCTAAACCCTAAGCCCTAAACCCCATCCTCAAAACTGAAAAAAAAAAAAAAAAAACAATGGAGGAAACGCGTCCCTTAAGGGCCTAGCAACAAAGGCAAGCGGATCATCCAGTCGTCCGGGCCCTGGTCCCAGGGCTTCAGCATACGGTTGTCCATCGCCTGGCCGTAGCTGCCCAGGACCAACTTATCCACAAAGGGCACGAACCTAGGATGGCCGCTAAAGGGTCTAGGGTTTAGGGTTTAGGGTTTAGGGTTTAGGGTTTAGGGTTTAGGGTATTAGGTTTAGGCTTTAGGCTTTAGGGTTTAGGGTTTAGGGTTTAGGGTTTAGGGTATAGGGTTTAGGGTTTAGGGTTTAGGGTTTGGGGAAGCCCCGAAAGATGCTACATGTGGATCTCCTTAACCCAACAAGGGGAAAGTACCAAAAAAATCTCCCAAGGGCCCTTAAAGAAACTGATGGAGGCACCAGGCCCGGCCATACTCCGCCAGGAGGTTCACCTCGTCGCCCTCCTTCTTGTCCTTGCCGTTGGTTTTGGCTCCGTTGGTTTTGGCTCCGTTGGTTTTGGCCCCGTTGGTTTTGGCCCCGTTGGTTTTGGCGGTCGGCTCCATGAGATATGCAAGGAGGTAGGCAGCGAGGACGAGGACGACGGTGACGACCACAGTGGCCACCAGGTCCACGGCATACTCCTCGAGCAGCATCACCTTGGGTTTAGGGTTTAGGGTGTAGGGTTTAGGGTTTAGGGTTTTAGGTTTAGGGTTTAGGGTTTAGGGTTTAAGGTTTAGGATCACCTTGTTGTAGTCGGACATGGCCCTGGCCGCCCGCAGTGCCCTGCGATAGAATCGCTCTCCGAGCGGATCCACGAATAACTAGCTAATGTGGGCCTGTGCTAACAAAAAGGCTTGAGCCAAGCTCGCTACACTTGGAGGTTCATGGTGCTATACCCCTACTAAGGTACTGATAACCCTGTTAAGGGTACTTATCACCCTATTAAGGGTACTTATCACCCTATTAAGGGTACTTATACCCCCCGCTAAGGGTACTTAAGGGGCAAGGTAGGCCTCGCCGGGCTCAGGAAGCACCACCAGGCTCGTTTACTCAGGGGCGCCACACGACTGGCGAAGCAAAGCCCTAAACCGTAAACCCTAAACCCTAAACCCTAAACCCTAAACCCTAAACCCTAAACCCTAAACCCTAAATCAAACCCCAGCCTCCCAAAACTCCTATAGCCCCACCATTGCCAAGTCAGAGCTCGCACCCAAGCGGCCCGGCAAAGCAACCTGAAACTACAAACTTGATTGATCCCTAAACCCTACATCCGAAGCCCTTTAACATATCCTATGGATTACCATATGGTTAATGCCCTGTCATGCCACCAGGATCCACATGTGATTTGTGAGGAACATCCCTAAACCCTAAAACCCTGAAACCCTAAAACCCTAAAACCCTAAAACCCTAAAAACCCTAAAAACCCTAAAACCCTAAACCCCTAAACCCTAAAACCCGAGGGCTATCGGAGTCTCCGGAAGCTTGGAGCCACGCGACCTCTCCGAGAGAACAGAAAGCGATGCCTTCGGCTTGGAGATGTCTTGGGCTACCCTAAAACCCAATTCCTACTTGGAGGGTTTAGGGTTTAGGGTTTAAGGTTTAGGGTTTAGGGTTTAGGGTTTAGGGTTTAGGGTTTAGGGTTTAGGGTTTAGGGTTTAGGGTTTAGGGATTTACCTTCATAAGAATGATAGTAGTATAGGGTAGATGAGTCCACTTGGAGGCCCTTTTTGACTCAGTAAGTCGGGTTAGTGCGGTAGGCTATGTGGCTTACACTAGGCTTTGTAGGGGATACTAAGTAGACTTACTAGTTCACATGAGCTTCCAAGTAAGCCCCTTCAACCTCCCAAACCCCCCCCCAAAGCCCAACCAAGGGTTCAGGGTTTCAGGCCTCGGGTTTAGGGTTTAGGGTTTAGGGTTTCGGGTTTAGGGTTTAGGGTTTAGGGTTTAGGGTTCGGCTTTTTAAGCTTCTGTTTACATGGCTCCTCGGTGTCGCAGACCTCCAAACCCATCCAAATCTCAAAGCCCACCTCCCTAAAACCCTAAAACACAAAAACCCTAAAAACCCTAAAGAAACCTAAAAGCCACAAAAACCCTAAAAAACATAAAATTCCTAAAAACCCTAAACCCTTTGAACCTCTAAAGCCCAAAAACCCTGCAAATCCCCCCTAAACCCTAAACCCTAAACCCTAAACCCTAAACCCTAAACCCTAAACCCTAAACCCTAAACCGCAGGCGAGCTGCCGGCCGGCCAGATGCAGCCACGCAGAGGAACCTGCCGCAAAGCTTAAGGGAACCGAGCCGCTACAATAACTACGATGTGCTTAAGAACTCCCCACACAAATGACAAAGAAGAATCCCTATTTTACCCTTACAAGCATGATCATGGCGTCGTGCTCGTTGACCCCTGCTTTCCTTTCATCACAGCTGCCATGACGTCAGGTCCTGTGATGCCAACGCAGAGGGCTTACAAGATCTATCTTCGGTGCATTTTGGAGAGACCCGCACGTTGTCCGAGAACGGGCTCGAAGACGGAGCACCAGCCAGAGCGGACGCCACATCAATCCAGACAGTGGGTGTTGTGCTCGCAAGATGCCTTGCATCTGCTTCCACCACACAAAGCTGCACAAGGCAGTGAGGACAGACCGACGCCGAGCGTGCCATGCAGGGGCATGCGCGAGTCGAAGAACCTGCCATTGTGGTCTCCGGTGCCGTTTTGGAGCTGCAAGCGCAGTCTGCGCAAAAGCTCGACGACCAGCACCTGCTTTGCAAGCTGGGTACTTAAACATCAGCCACTAGCAGCTATGGATGATCATGGCGTCGTGCTCGTTGACCCCTGCTTTCCTTTCATCACAGCTGCCATGACGTCAGGTCCTGTGATGCCAACGCAGAGGGCTTACAAGATCTATCTTCGGTGCATTTTGGAGAGACCCGCACGTGGTCCGAGAACGGGCTCGAAGACGGAGCACCAGCCAGAGCGGACGCCACATCAATCCAGACAGTGGGTGTTGTGCTCGCAAGATGCCTTGCATCTGCTTCCACCACACAAAGCTGCACAAGGCAGTGAGGACAGACCGACGCCGAGCGTGCCATGCAGGGGCATGCGCGAGTCGAAGAACCTGCCATTGTGGTCTCCGGTGCCGTTTTGGAGCTGCAAGCGCAGTCTGCGCAAAAGCTCGACGACCAGCACCTGCTTTGCAAGCTGGGTACTTAAACATCAGCCACTAGCAGCTATGGATGATCATGGCGTCGTGCTCGTTGACCCCTGCTTTCCTTTCATCACAGCTGCCATGACGTCAGGTCCTGTGATGCCAACGCAGAGGGCTTACAAGATCTATCTTCGGTGCATTTTGGAGAGACCCGCACGTGGTCCAAGAACGGGCTCGAAGACGGAGCACCAGTCTGAGCGCCACATCAATCCAGACACAACATGACGCAACAGTGAGTGCTGTGCTCGCAAGATGCCTTGCATCTGCTTCCGCCGCACGAAGCTGCACAAGGCAGTGAGGACAGACCGACGCCGAGCGTGCCATGCAGGGGCATGCGCGAGTCGAAGAACCTGCCATTGTGGTCTCCGGTGCCGTTTTGGAGCTGCAAGCGCAGTCTGCGCAAAAGCTCGACGACCAGCACCTGCTTTGCAAGCTGGGTACTTAAACATCAGCCACTAGCAGCTATGGATGATCATGGCGTCGTGCTCGTTGACCCCTGCTTTCCTTTCATCACAGCTGCCATGACGTCAGGTCCTGTGATGCCAACGCAGAGGGCTTGCAAGATCTATCTTCGGTGCATTTTGGAGAGACCCGCACGTGGTCCAAGAACGGGCTCGAAGACGGAGCACCAGTCTGAGCGCCACATCAATCCAGACACAACATGACGCAACAGTGAGTGCTGTGCTCGCAAGATGCCTTGCATCTGCTTCCGCCGCACGAAGCTGCACAAGGCAGTGAGGACAGACCGACGCCGAGCGTGCCATGCAGGGGCATGCGCGAGTCGAAGAACCTGCCATTGTGTTCTCCGGTGCCGTTTTGGAGCTGCAAGCGCAGTCTGCGCAAAAGCTCGACGACCAGCACCTGCTTTGCAAGCTGGGTACTTAAACATCAGCCACTAGCAGCTATGGATGATCATGGCGTCGTGCTCGTTGACCCCTGCTTTCCTCTCATCACAGCTGCCATGACGTCAGGTCCTGTGATGCCAACGCAGAGGGCTTACAAGATCTATCTTCGGTGCATTTTGGAGAGACCCGCACGTGGTCCGAGAACGGGCTCGAAGACGGAGCACCAGCCAGAGCGCACACCACATCAATCCAGACACAACATGACGCAACAGTGGGTGCTGTGCTCGCAAGATGCCTCATGCGCGAGTCGAAGAACCTGCCATTAGTAGCATAAGAATAAGACTCAGACGAACAAGACAAAATAAGAATCAAAAGACTACTGAAATCATGACAGCAACAACGACAACTTCTGCTTGAAAAACCAGCGCAGTAGTTGTCGTCGTCGTCGTCGTCGTCGTCGTAGTAGTAGTAGTAGTAGTAGTAGTAGTAGTAGTAGTAGTAGTAGTAGTAGTAGTTGTTGTTGTAGTAGTAGCAGTAGTAGTAGTAGTAGGTGACACGCTCTTAACTGATCATGGTGTTTTCTGCTGTTTTTTCACTTTTTCTATCGTTTTCTCCTGTTTTTTCTCCGTTTGACGGGTTGGGGGGGGGGGTGGGGGGGGTAATTACGTGCTGTGCTTTGTGCACACATGACCACGCTCAGGGGTTGGGGGCGGGGGGGGGTAATTACGTGCTGTGCTTTGTGCACACATGGGGGTCGTGCTGTGCTTTGTGCACACATGACCACGCTGTCTACTGTTTTCCTCTGTTTTTTTGGTTGGTTTAGGGGCTAGACCTTTTGGGCTCACAGTGGAGGGTTTAGGATCTGGGGTTTGAGGGTAGAGATCTTTTGGGCTTGTTTTGGGAACCTTTTGGGCCTCCACTGGAAATATGGGGTTTGAGGTTTCAGGCTACAGATCTTTTGGGTTTTTTTGGCATTTGGGGTTTAGGGTTTCCGGGCAAGACCTTTTGGGCTCACAGTGGAGGGTTTCCGGGCAAGACCTTTTGGGCTCACAGTGGAGGGTTTAGGGTTTGGGGCTTCAGGGTAGAGATCTTTTGGGGTTTTTTTGGGAGCCTTTTGAGCTTCGACTGGAGATATGGAGTTTGGGGTTTCAGGCTCCAGATCTTTTGTGCTTTTTTTCTTTGGGATTTGGGGTTTAGGGTTCAAGGGCAAGACCTGATTTGGGGTTGAGATTTTAAGGGTGCACGACTCTTGGGCTTGCTTCAGGTTTTGGGGTTTCGGATTTCAGGGTGCACGACTGTTCGGCTTGCTGGACGCGTTCGGATTTAAGGACAAGTTTTGGCCACATCTTAAAAAAAAAACCGCGAAACGCTGTAAATACCGGTGTTTTCCTCTGTTCTGAGAACGCGTCTGCGCGAAGCAGGGCCTGAAATTTACCGTTTTTGAAGCCCGAAAACACTGTAAATACCGATGTTTTCCTCCTGCGCCTAAAGTAGTTGAAAGTAGTTTCCGGAAATTTTTACACGTCGATTTTTCGTGTCCGTAAACGGACAAAGCCAGGAAACACTGTAAATACCGAGGGTTTCGTCTCTTAACACGAAAATGGCATGCCACAAAACCCCTGCGATCAATTAAGAACGTGACGCCTAGTAGTAGTAGTAGTGGTAGTAGTAGTAGTAGTAGTAGTAGTGGTAGTAGTAGTAGTAGTAGTAGTAGTAGTAGTAGTAGTAGTAGTAGTAGTAGTAGTAAAACTAAACGTAAAAGTAAAAGTAGAAGCAAAAGTACAAGGTACACGTAAAAGTGAAAGTCGAAGTAAAAGTAGTAGGAAAAGTAGTAGTAAAAGTGGTAGGAAAAGTCATAGTAGTAGTGGTAGTAGTAGTCGTCGTCGTAGTCGTAGTCGTAGTCGTAATCGTCGTCATAGTAGTAGTAATAATGATTATTCTTATTCTTATTATATCATCATAACAGGATCACACTCATTACATTCGTAATGATAGGGGCCCTGGCCAACCGTGGAGGGGTCCTGGCAGCAAGAGCCAGCTGCGAGCCCGAAGAAACTCGCTGAGCTGCACCTCGGGTCTGGCCACTCATTAAGCACCGGTTTAGGGCCTTGAGGGTTTAGGGTTTAGAGTTTAGGGTTTAGGGTTTAGGGTTTAGGGTTTAGGGTTTAGGGTTTAGGGTTTAGGGTTTAGGGCCTTGAGCTCAGGGCTTAGGGATGCTTGGGGTTGGGGCTTCGGACGATAAGGAGTACAACGCCCTTGGGGGTGAAGGCTAGGCACACAAGGATCCTTCAAGACACTGCCCATGCGCAATGTTCGCCTTCTCTAAACCCTACACTGTCGGATGGTTATGCGTGTTAAAGAGGACCTCTCATCTTTCGTGCAACCCCAACAAAAGGCCACGGCTACCCAGCATCCTATGACCTTGCTGGTGAGCCCCCGTGCAGGGCTCATGCATATCCTACCAGTTGATCACTAAACAACAATGGAAATGTTAATGAGAAATAAATTGGGGGGTAAGGCAAATCAGAAAGGTCTTCCTTGTTGTGGCAGCCGTGGGTTGACGGTCACCAAGCCGGACGCTGTCAGGAGCCATGCTTGAATCGGGATATGTGGCCATACTGCTCAGGACGGGTTGGTGGGTAGGAGGCAAAATTACGTGGACTAAGCGCAACATGCGCCATGGACATCTTTTGCCAGGCGCTGCAACACGTCATCGGCATGAGCCACGATTCAGTATTGCATGTACTTTTTTCCACCCGCCCGGCAAAATCTAGCCTGGCTTATAGGTCATCCTTCTGCCGGAGCTTGCTGTACTGAGAAGTGCACACTCCACGCGCAGCTTCTCCTCCCGCTTGTTGCTTTGTTGCGCGATTGCCAGACCCTGGCTACATCAACCTGAGCTCAGCAGAATACCATGAGCCCCTGGGTTCCAAGAGCTGCATGGACTTCAAGCAGGTGCTCCCTTACGTGCCTGCTTCTCCATCTTCTCCTTCAGTTGCAGCATCTTTGACTTCAGCTCCTGAGTGTAGGGTCTGCTCTCACCGAAGCCGTAGCACTGCAGCTCATACGCAAGGCGGCGCCAGAACAGCAGGCGCTCTGTCTTGCGAGAGTCGAGGAGTTTTCGGTCTGCTGCGAAGCAGACATCATGAGCAAGTTGCCTGAGAAGAGAAGGAAACATCACTCCGACCTCTTGCATGAGGTGTAGCAGCTTCCAAGCTTGCTCCTCCACTTGCGACCCTGCCATTGGAATGGCATGAAAGAGCCTACATATGGATTTGCGCTTCTCATCGGAAGCCGGGTCATCCTGCTGGCATGGAATGCACTTGCAGGCCTGTCCAAAGCTCACCTTCATCCAAGCTTGACGTTCAGCAGTTGGTCGAAAAGCCAGAGAGTTCTGCTCGGCGCGATGGTCAAGCTCGGCGTAGTGCACTGATATTTCCTCTCCGGCTTTGATGTGGCGCGTCGCACGAACATAGCAGTCAACTTGTGTGCTGGCAGTCACATATTCAGCGTTTGGAGAGCAGCTGTGGTTGAAGCGTGCAATGCCACAGCACAAGCCCCAGCGTCCCTCTCCGACAGGGATGGCATTGGTAAGGAAGATGCTTGCCACCACAAATGACTGCTCTGAGGATCGCATCAGCTCAATACTCTGACGCAAGCCACTGGCCAACCCGCCTTCATCCAATTCGGGGTCATCAAGGAAGTCTGACATGAAACTTGAAAGGGACAGCACTTCTGCTTTTTTCCCGTCCTCCAAGTCATCGAAGCTCTTCATGATGCTGTCTCTTTCTTCAGCAATTTCCTCCAACTTCGACTGGATGCCCGCGTTCTTGAGCTTCACAACCATTGCAGGCTGATCCCAAAAAATCAGCTCGCCTGGCTCAATGTCGCATTTGGCAAAAACTCCCAAACCTCCGGTCTTCGAGGTCTGCAGCTCCCAACAACCGGGCTTCGCCTCCGGCGAAGCCTGAGGCTCCTGAGTGCAGCTGCTGCTGCCATCTTTGGAGAAGGGGTCACGGTAGTGCAGGGATGGCATCGGGTCCGCTTGTAATGGTGCGGTGAGCTCGCATGGACGGGCTGAGTCTTGAGGCTTCGTGCCTTCAGCCTCGGCTTGCGCTTTCTTCCGGATCCGCATGAGCGCATGCTTCACTTGGTCCTTCTTCACATCACCGAAGTCCTGCTGAAGGCGGTCCCACGCCTCCGCTGGCGTGATCTGCGGGGTTTCGCGATGAAGCACTCGCAGGAGATCTTGCCACACTGAAGGCTCTTCCGCTGGCTTCGACATGGGAGCCTGAAGCCTGAAGAAAAGTGGCAGCTGATCTACGCACAACCACACCACTGAACCGGGCAAAAGGGTTGCAGACGCAAACTGATTGTGGACGTCATGATACCATGAATGCCATGACTCAGGCATCTTACGATCTACCAAATGCAATTACATACACCAAGGCCTCGCCACCCCTCCCACCCCCACCCACCCCCACCCACCCCCCTCACCCCCCCCCACCCCCCACCCCCCCCCCCCCCACCCCCCGCCCCCCCACCCCCCTCCATCCCGGGAACACGATACTCCTCAATATTGTTTCTTACGCAGTGCTGCGATTTGATCTGGCTTCAAAAGGTCTGAGGGCGGCACCTCGAGCCCGTCGTGCACTCGTAGCACACCTCCCGCGACAGATATGCGGCCAGTTCTTGAAAAATCACGGGCCCTTCTCTCTTAGGGTAGTTACATGGTCCCTTAGTATGGGCCCTGAATTGGGGAACCCCTTACATACCCCATAGTAAAGCCCAAGGGCCATACTTCAGAACCCTTTAAAGAAGGTAAGGGACCACTTTCACTTTCATGCGTCATGTCAGCGCTCGCCGCTCAAGCGACATATGCGATTTCCCTCAAATTGAGTAGCTCCCTATGGGTCGCCTCGACCTCGGGTCTTGCGGCGTCAGTTCTTTTGTGGGATCCCCTGGCCCCCCTCCCCTAATCCCCTCCTTGGCCAAGCCCTCTTTTTTTGGTAATTTTTCGGGCTTTGGCATGCTGGAGGAGGGTGAGATTCGCTGGGAATGGACTACTTTCGGAACCCCCCCCCCCCCCCCCGACCTTTTCTGATCGGCCCCAAGAAGGACCCGAAGGTCCGAATGCCCAAGCCCTAAGCCCTTTACACCCTAAACCCTAAACCCTAAGTTTTTGAACCCTAAACCCTGAACCCCTACACCAAAAGTGGGCCTTCAAGGCGCCGCCATGATGGTCCTTGGCTGATCCCGGGCCCCAAATCCCACAATCCCAGAGAGGTCAGCACCTTCCAAGCAACCTCAGGGAGCCCCAAATTCGGCCAACCCTAAACCCTAAACCCTGAACCCTAAACCCTGAACCCTGAACCCTAAAGCCTAAACCCTAAACCCTAAACCCTAAACCCTAAACCCGAAACCCTAAACCCTAAACCCTAATCTTTGGGCTCCCAGAAAGCCAATGGTCTCAGGCTTCCGGGCTGTTAAAGGGTGAGGCGTTCGGGCAGGTCCAGGTAGAGTTTTTTGTGTTTTTGTTGGCTTGTTTTTCTCGAGCTTGTGTTGGTTTTGGGTTCCGCAATACGGTAAACTGTCAGTAGCAGCATGTCTCAGACTCCTCGTGAGCAACAGAACATGTCATGTTAGCGGGCCAGTTCAAGTTTCAAGTAGTTTGGTTTGCAAGATTAACACTCTGCAATAGGTCCAGCCGGCCCGCCGCCCAGCCGCACCACGAGCCATGAAGGAGCCCGGATGAGGAGCCATGAAGGCAGCCAAGTCGGAGCCAGGATCTGGCGACACACCCATCCAAACCCCGGGCCCGCCCATCCAGGGCTGAAAGTTCCCATCCAGACTCTGCCCAAAGGGAGCTTGGGAGGATCCGGCGCTGCATCCATCTAAAGCACCCGACAGAAGGCATGAAGAGAGCCATGAAGTGCGGCCCACCTTCTTTCTGAGGAGAGGACCCCAAAACCGCACCTGCTTGGGGAAAACAAAAATCTGAAAAGGAACCCCCGGCCCGTTCGGGGAGGCCATGGCTGCTGCCTTGGGTTAAGGGTCCTGGGGCTTTGGGCTATTGTTGTTTTTTCGGGCAAGGAGGGAAGAGCAAAGGGCTTCGGAAGTTGTGTAGTTTGAAGGCTTTTTGGTCGTTATGCGTGGGCGAGGCGCAAGGGATGAGGCTCAAGGGGAATAGCGGGCAATCAGGGCTTTAGGTTTTAAGGGGGAATTCAAAGCTTTGCACCTGGCCCCTTCGAACCCTGTGACAAAGCACTCTCAGATACGATCTGCTTAAAGCCGGTTGTTTCCTGGGGGGTTTGAAGGCCAGTGGTGCAGCACCTCCGACATGCAGCCGGGACACTGGGTACCAAGTCATTTTCTGGCACGCGTCAGGCTGCCAAGCAGGTGCTTGCCACTATAAAGGGTAATGAAACCCAGCTCTTGATGCATGCACTTTGCACTTTAGACCTTCTCACCAAACACACTACTGCTTGAAGTCAAAACCGGAATATGTCTCAGTGAGCCTTCAGCAGCATTCACAGACCATTTGCAACGGCGTCAATGGCTTCGGGAATGGAGATCTGAGAGCCCGCGGTTTCATAACTTGATTGCCACACCTGAAGCCTCAAGCTGACGTTCGTCACTATCAGCCCAGACGCAGTTTATCTCTGCAACCCTAAACCCGTACACCCTTACAACCCCTACACCCTAAGCCCGTCTAAGCCCTGGGGCTTTAAGCGTCTAGGCGTTCAAGGATTTGCACTTCAGGGTTTAGAGCTCGGGCCATCAAAAAAACCTTGGGACTGTTGCAGTTTGGGGGCTTAAGGAATACTAGACCTGCTGTGGACCCGAAAGCCTTAACCCCTACACCCCACGCGCACTAAACACCCCAAGCCCAAAAAAAAACCCCACACCCTAACAGCCCAACACGAAACAGACGAAACACCTTGAAAGCAAACTTCGGCTTTGAAACCCTCTTCTGCCGCGACGGCTCAAAGGATAAGGGGAGGGGGGCAGAGTTTAAGGCTTTAGAGCATATTAGGGGCTTTTAAAGCTTTAAGGCTTTTTTGCTTCACAGCTTGCGCAAGGCCCAACATGCCCGGAAGGCCAACCCAAGCCCGCAAGGCAGCATCGGACACACCACATTCTCGCTGAAAGCGTAAACCACGCCTGAACATTTTTCGAGATACTCACAATAAAGTTTTCTGGAGCATGTACCACCGCACAGATGGGAATCCACACTTCAGCCCCACTCAAAAGCACAGACAAAACACAAGCCCGAACATCGAGATTTTGGTAGCCAAGGCGAGAGCAGACACCTTCCAGACAGACGAGTCTAGTACCCAGCAACACTTCTTGCCTTGTCAAGGCGATCCTTTCTTGCTGCGTCCGAAAACAATAACAACTTCCTCAAAGCCATCATCAAACTCCTCGACCTTGATAGGACCTCTCGTCAATCGACTCAGCAGCAAGCGCCTTTGCTTTTTTCAACGGCGTGATTAACACCCCAACGTATCCTCAACACTGCTGAAAGGTCGGAAACATCAGAGCCCTGTTACGAAGCTCAAGAAGGGTTTCTGGAACTAACGCAGCATCATCAGCATAAGCCAGCTCTTCAAAACGACAATCCAACAAAGCAAAATATTTGTCTACTCTTTTCGATTCGCGCAAGCCATCGCGGCCCTCCCGCGGACTTGCACTGCCAAGCCTCAAAGATGGCACTCAGAAAAACGCTGAACAGAAGAGGTGCAACGCAGCATCCTTGTCCCAGACCCGCTTCAAGCAAATTGCCCACGTCACACAGATCGTAACCCTTAACCAAATCAACAAGCAGCTCATGGAAGGGCTGGGTCTTGTACTGCGCAACCTCCATAGCAGCACGCAAGGAAAGGATCATAGCCATAGTACCTCGTCCCGCACGCAAAGCACTGCTGTAATCGAGCTCTGATGATTCTTGCAAACACCTTGCCAGGAACTGTGCCAACAGAACGCGCCGCCATTTTTTACACAGAGTGAGATCCCCTTCCGGGAAGCGGCGCGAGAAACGAGTCCTTCCACTCAAATGGCATAGGGCGCTGCCCTCCCACACTTGAACCATGTATTCACGCATAATACCGAGATTACTCACATCCAGGGCCTGAATTCACTCAGGCTCAAGAATATCCGACCCCAGCCCCGCCTTTTCGAAGGCTTTGCACAGATACTCCAGCGAAGAAGGCATCCAGCTCAGAAGGTACACCAACAGCAGGGACAGTCAAAAGCTCCTGAAAACGCTCTTGCCATCGCTGTAAGCGGTTAGATCTGCTTCTCAGCAGAACGCCATTCTTGTCCAGTCATTTTCGGGATTGAAAAGACCTGTTAGCTAAAACTGAATGCATTCCGTCTACCCCGCAACCAGCCCCTTGCTAGCCACTGCCCGCGTTTGTTAAAGCAACTTGGCATGGCTGGCAAGCTTCCATTGTGGCTGCAATCCTCAATAGCCCGACGGATGCCATCGCCTGTCCATTGATGTTCTGACACCGCAGCTGGTGTAATGTTCCTACGATCCAACTCCGCAAGGTCATCCAGCTTCTGAGGCGGCTCCTTTCCCACAACTTCAACAGCGCGATTGTCGTTCCCCGCAACTATGGTGCAATTGCCACGCCTGTCCGCAAGTCAACTTTGCTTGGCTGATCAACGGTGGCTGTGCTCGAGTCTTCTGGTTTTGTGTGGTAGCGAAAAGAAAAGGAGGCTCGGCTTGCCAGGCCAGGGTTCATGTTGGGGAGGACCCCCTACAGGGGCTGCCCACCAAAACGGCCCCCACCAACAGGCCTTCCCCCCTTTTGCAGCCTGCGTTGGCCGACCCCTTATCAGTGCACCCGCTCCATCCGGGTGCGTTACACCCGGACACCATGATTGAGGTGCAGGTCCGTCTTTGCTCGGTTTTTTCTAGGGATTCAGAGCTTATTAGGGTTTAGGGTTTCAGGGTTGTTCACCTCATTATGCGTTGCGTTCTCGTAGTGAATTAAGGAAGTTGATACCTTATCTTCCCCTTCCATGGATTGTATAGGGTTTAGGGTTTCGGGTTAGGTACGATGCCATATGACAAGGGATCATCTGGGATTCGAGCAGTTCTCTGCCGGATTTGTTTGGGGGGATGGCACTCCCACCCCAACCCCGAAACCCTAAAGCCCACACCCACGCCGAACTCCTTTTTGGCCATGTGTGCCGGGATCCCGCCGTGCGCGGGGTGGGCGTGGGTCGAGCCCTTTGCCTCCGTAGCCCTTGGAGGGTTGGGGTTTTGGGATCTGG